CTGTAGTTCTGTTCACATGACGAAAAGATGGCGCGATGATAGAAGAAGAAAAAAAGAACTCCGTACATTCAACTATATCTTTCACTACGTGCCAAGCTATTTTTTGTAAGACAAAAGTTTGACTATAAACAGTGCAATGGAAGGAAGTCGTCAACATAGCCGAGATCTTTCGACGTCACCATGTGTGCCCTGACGAGTTAGAGTATGGATGTAGGCATGTGTGAATGTAAGGGTGCGAATGGGATGTCAGCTTGCATATTGGTATGTGTGTGATCATCAGTTGATCTTCTCTCTCCTGACATCCACACTCACAGCCAACTGCTGGACAAATGCTCAATTCTATTGAATATTGTCGTGATAGCTGAACACACACTTGTATGTTTACAATTAATAAAATCAATAATAGTTGTAATATTCGTTTTTTAGCTTGGGAAATATCCACATTTTCATGAATGTTTTAATGCTAAAGAAAAACATATCGATCAAATTATCAAAATCTACTAATTATATATCAATATCATATCACTATTCAATGTCAATAGGATTGCTTGAAGTAATTTGCATTAACATAATTATATAAAACGATAACAATAACGATTACATAATAGTATCACTTTAAATGTTTCTGTTCAACCGATTGTTTTTTTATTAAATGTAATCGACAATATTAAAGAGAATCTATACTATTATTATGTTTATCAACTATTTCAAATGTAATTCCAACTGATAATAGGACTATAGATAATGTATTTTACTGGCTGATATTTCAAATAATATTCATAAGAACCTTGTGCTTTATTGGAAATTTTCTTAATTCTTTCAAAACTTTTTGACGAATGATATTTGTATTTTTCCGTAATTTTTTAATCGACTATATTATCCAGAATACTTTTGTAATTTTTTTATTAAAATGTTCATCTCTATAAAATTATTTTAATTAGTATTTACAAAAAAAAAGATACAAAAAAAAAAGGATATTGAGAACATATCTCCACCAGCTTTTGTCTGTTCTATCTAAGCAACATCTCATTCTAAAGGGCTTTCAAAATTGAACGAAAATCCATTTCGACTTCCTCAGCAGATCGAGCTTTGATATTCAAAAATTAATGTTGCTGAAAAATTCCATTTTTTCAGCCAATTTTACCCGATTGCAAGTTGTTTTTTAGTATGATAATTATTCAAAAGAAAACTTTGATATAGGGCATCTTGTAGAGAATTTTGAGAAAAAAGTTTTAAAAAGGCTTGAAAGTTGCGAAACCACTGGAGAAAGGTCGTCTCTCAAATATCAGTAAAAGAGAAAAAATATGTGGTTTCCATCTAAAACGCGCTTTTTGATGATAGAAATAAAGTATCTACATTGGTTCTACACAAAAAACTTGATATAGAAATGTAGTCTTTCAAAACAATCTTCAAAAGTCAGACGGTTTTGTAAATGAAAAATAATATTATTTATATTTATGTGCAATGAACAAGTATAAAATAGACGATAGCATGGAAATCGAATAGCTGTGCTTGTTTGTAGAGATGCTTTTTCGTAGCATCTAGCACAAATTCGGAATGAAACATTCATATCAATATTTACTGTGAACGATCCAAACAAATGATTATATTATCTATTAAGTTCTATGGTACATTGTTTCGATTTTGAAACATGATATGCATTGAATTAATAATGATGTCGAAGCATAGTACGAAAACTTCAACTGCATTTTTGAATCAAATGATATACATTATAAAAATAGTTTCATCATAATTTAATGAGAAGTAAAAATACTTCGCATAAGATTACATTAAAAAGATCCTCAATGAAAAACTTTTGTTTTTGTAAAATTTCTTTCTATAACGCTATTTGACATCTATCAATATTGTTTGATTTGTGAGAAAACTACAATCATACAATTGTTTTGAAAGAAGAGATAGTAAAAGAATCTCATGAATACTTCAAATACATCAGGATGAATATATTTTGTGAAGAGTTTAGAATATCATGCCATGCACTGTCACAAGTAGATGTTATCTAACACCATCTGCAGGATATGAAACGAAAGAATTTTTAAAAAAAGAGAATGATCTACCAACGAAAACAAGTGTTGTCTATCCATTGTCATAGATATATCTAAAATTAAAAATTAATTAAATTTATTATTTATTTGCTTGATAATTCGATTCAGCATAAGAATATATCTACGTCAGTTGTTGTTCTGAGAAAATCACATTATCTATTCGACAATCTCTAACGCCAATACCTATTCTTGTCTAACCCTGGTAATGGCAACCTGTATAAATATCGTCATTGATTTTATATTCAATTGATTATTTTCATTGATTCTCTTTTATATATCTTATGGAAAATATAATTTCAATTCCATCTGTGCTTGAAACTTTTTCTGATGAAATTTTCTTTGAGATCTTTGATCGTCTATCGCCCATGGATTTATATAAAACATTTCATGGACTTAATAGTCGTTTCAATACAATATTAAATGATTCTCGTATGCGTTTTCGTGATAATATATCATCTTTGAATTTAAAAGAATTTCATTCTTATATTGAAAATATTCTTCCAAAAATTATCGATCGTCTTGTTTCATTTACATTTGGAATATATGATACTGACGAGGTTCGATTTAATTGACTTAAATTAAAAATCTTTAATGAATATTTTTTTTTTTTGAAATTTAATTTTAGTATCAACAAGTTAGTCTTTTTTTACATACGTATTCTATTGATTTAAGTCTTTTTAAACATCTTCGTACATTAGTTATTATTAAAATAACAATATCTGATCTATCTATAATTGAACTAGCACTTACTCATCTCGTTCATCTTGTTAATATACGCTTATCAGTTGATAGCAATGATGTCGAAAGATTGTCTGTTGTTAATATTGGTAATAATTTTTTCAATAGTCCTCGATTAAAACATGTTAAAATGAACATGTGTTCTCGAACAACATTTAATAATGTAAATAAAATCTCTAATATTAAACAATTATCACTTGTATGGTGTCAATTAGAAGAATTAACACATTTACTTCAATATACACCGGATTTATATACTCTTAAAGCAACGATTTCTGGATTAAATGATACAAAAGAATGGACAGAAAAAATTTGTGGAAATTTTACTGAAAAATATTCACTTCGTTTAAATTCTCTTAAATTAGTTATTGATTCAATTTCATTCGATCATCTTTTATTATTTCTTCATGAATTAACCCAATTACGATCTCTTTGGTTATTACTGAATCATTATGAATATATGAATGCTGAGAAATGGGTAAACATTTTTCAGTCATCATTATCTAAAGTAGATCAATTGGATTTAACAATTGCATTGATGAAACCATTTTTACCTGGACAATTATTGACCTTCTCGACACCATATAAAGCATATGAAAAATTTAATACTAGATTTTGGTTTGATAGAGGTTGGCATGCTAAATTGGATGAATATGATCATTGTATACGATTAATTGTATCAAATAACATGATGCCCATTATAAAAAAAGCAAAACGAGAGTAATTGAGAACAAAATACGAATTTTATTTTATTTTTTGTATACGTCAGATTGATTTTTCATATTATTTTATTTTCATAATAGATATCATTTTATTTTGACTCTTGCAAATTTTATTCAATAAAAAATATAGTTTAGCGAAATTCAATAATTTGTTTTTTTCAGTAAAACATTTACGTTACTTTGACTATCATGCAAGACTCCATGTTGAGAATGATGTTCGACACGGATCTGATTTTTCGAAGCCGGACTCACACTCAAACTGAAGCTAATTGACATCCGGCAGATACTTTTACAGTCATGGTACATTTTTCAAACTATTGTTTTTCACCAAAAAAATAAATCATCTAGTTTCTTTCATAAACAGCTACGAAAGAAAGAGATCATCTCAAATTCGACAAAAACAAGTACAAATCAAGTGATTCACGATTTACTTGGCGTCCTTCTGTTTCTAAGATTCAATTCATTCCACTAAGTATACGTTTGCCTGTTACTGATGACGCTAGAATGAAGTGTAGTGTTGGTGTCAGACGTCATAATTGTGGATAGATTCATGAATGCTTTTTCCTTTATGATAATACATGTTCATTTGTTTTGATAATTCATTTTTCTCTTCATGTATTCAGTTACTTTGTCATATGGTTCATCATCATTTGTAGATGAATTTTCATTAGAAAAAATTCTCTTAGAAAAACAATATTGCCATCCAGTTCTGTAATTTATGCGTAAGTACAATGAATTACTCAATAATGATCAAACTGGTTTTCATTCCAATGCTTTTATATATATAGCAGTTTGAAAAAGTGGAAACATTTTGAAAGGTTGAAATCGTACATTCTGTCAGATCAGGTGCTGGATACCCAACCCGGTTGTAGCATACTAGTTGAGAGTTTCAATTTTCTTCAAATGAAGAAGTAGTAAGCATAAGATAGAAAACATCAGATATTGATTGAGATAGACCATTAAGCAAAGATAGATACATCAAAGATCAGCCTTCTTCGGCTTCGACGAAACTAGCACTAGTTAATCAATGTGTTATCCGAATAATTCTAGATTTTCTAAGCCTTATATAAAGACAGGTTCTTAATCACAATATGTAATCAGACTACATTTATCAGTTGAAGATATTTCTCTATTAACAGTAAGATTTGAAAACCAAGAGGTTAACGCAAAAATCTATCTTTAAAGTTTATTCATATTCTTGCTCAAACAACACTTTTTAAATTAAATGAATTTTTGTTTTTGCTTTTGTTTGTACAAAGTAAAGAAATAATTCTGTATAAATAAATATTTTACATAAAACAACATTCATGATTATGATGTATTCAACGAAGAAATATTTATTAGACTTTGGGCCAAAATCTAAAAAACACGAAAGAGTGATGAATCATAAATTATATTATATTATTATCAAAGTTTATCTCGTGTTTACATATACAAAAAAAGAAAAGTTAAGTATGAATGAGTAATAAATAAGAAATTACAAAATTTTTTTTAAATTTTCTGTTTGCGAAGCACTTAATCTAGTACGTAATAAAAAGAAGATACCGAAGATAACTAGCAATGAAATAGGAATAAATATTATCCATAAAGACCAAACATAATATAAAAGAATTATTGTAACAATAGTTTCAATAACAAAAATACATCCGAGTTTTGCATACCCAAGAAATTTTTCCATTGATGTTTGTTTAACTGTTTGTTTTGATGGTTTATTTGTTGTAACTGGTAGATAAATAATATTCATGCCATCCATTGGTTCGAAATCTTCAATTGAAAACATTTCTGGATCTTGTCCTCTACTTCGTACTCCATTAATATCAAGTCCTGTAAATATATCAACACCTGGTGTAAGAACGGCATGTGCTGAACGAGATATTAAATGTATATGTTCATCATTATAAATCATAGTTTGTAGAATAATAAATAAGAAAAATGAAAATGAATAATAAATTGCAATAAGTATTAATAATTGAGAATGATTTACAATAGTAATAGAAAATAAAAATATATCACTCATCGCCAATAAAGTTATTGAAAATTTTGATAAAGCTTTCACTGTTCTTAATAATGAATTAAGTAAAATCTAATCAAACAAAACAAAAAAGATAAACTTTTGTTTAAAAACTAATAAATTGCTTCTTACTTGTGGTAACATTTGCGTGGCAAGTAAAATGTAACCAATATTTATTAACAAACCTTTATTTCTAGAGAAAAAAATAATACTTAAACCAATAATCCATATGCATAAACTGATAACAATTAAAATAATTTTATTTTGTCGATGAAGCTTGTTTGAAAATAGAATGATTTGTAACAAAATTACCATTGTTGATATAAATGCAAATAATTTCGATGTCGATGTCCATTTAAAAGCATGCTCCACGATTAAGAAAATTAAAGCCAATGCTCGAATTATTATCCATATATAACTAATACCAGCTATATATCGTGAACGATGATTAAATAGATGAATAATTTGAGGTAAAAGAGAAAATGCTAAAGAAAGATAAGCTAACATACAAACAATGGGAAGCAAATAACATCTTGTTATTGAAGATCTTTCTACACAATAGTTATCGTTTGAATGATTAAAAATAGTTGTAGCTAATGTTGATCCAAGAATATCTGTAGTATGCAACATGATGATACTTCAAGAAACAATAAAACAAAGGTTTAGAAGAAGAATTTATAGATAACAGTCTATGTCAACATGAATGATAAAAGATTAATCGTAATTTATGTTCGTTTTTTCATTTTAAAAGATGTCTCTATTATATAACCAAAGACTGTAATTTGTATAGCATTGTACTAATATATGTTTATCTTTGCAATAGAAGAAGAAAAATAAAAGAGACAATGACACTTGTATTTATTATGAATCAATGGGGTAGGTAGGATTTTTGAGTAGTGAACAACGTAGTAATAAAACTGTTTTGAGGATTGAGTAGCTTTGAATAATTATCACTATTTTCAAAAAATCCAAGGGCAATAATTTTTAGAGTGGTGAACATTTGCCAATGGCAGGATACGTCAATGACTGAAGTATACAAAGAATTTTAAAAGTTCTCAAAATCATTTTAAAATCTATTGGTCTTGCATTCAACCAAAGAAAATTCTTTACAACTTTGATAGATTATTATACTTAATTAGTACTATGGCGCTACAAAGTTTGGGATCGATAACTTTTGTTACAAATGAGAAAATCTAACAAAACTATGATGCATGTTTTTTGTTCATTTTCAACATTTTCTTGCTTAATACTTTTAAATCGAAATAACTTTTCTGATTAAAAAGAAACATAGACCAAAACTATCAATATTCGTGTATTTGATTATAAGATTATGTTTTGCTAATTTGAATCATGCTAGTATATTATCTATCATTGGTTGACATAAAGAAACACTAACTTTGTGTCCTTACTTTTTATTGTTATTTTTCGAATGTTCAACATCATTGAATTTACACTCTCTGAATTTTTCTTTTAATGCATTAAAAATTTTTTTATAAATCAAATATTGGCTAAGTGTGCAGCACAATTTTCTCATTCAATACGGTCGATAGCAACATATTTGATGGTGTTCAAAGCCGTGCGCAGCATTTTTTTAGAATCTAGATCATCTTGAAAAATTAAATCTCCTAAATCAGTCATATGATTCAAACCGGGCAAAAATCACCAATAAATCATTAGTGGATCTTTCGATATAATCTGTCACATGGACACTTAAGTCTTGAGCTGTGTTTTCTGCAACGATAATATGAATGAAGTTTGCATATCTCTTACCAATGAATTGCCTTCGCTAACATGTGTCGAAATCGAGACGACCACCTCCAAAACGTAATTGAAGTGAACGCCGAAGTTTTACGCTTTTTCTCATCAGAGTTGTATTGGAGTTAGGATGAAACCTGTTAATTGATGAATAGAGTTGGAGTAGAGGTGTATGGAGTTGAAGCGGGACATTATGGAATTACCGATTTCCTCTGTAGAAATCAAAACATATTCAAGAGTGTGAGTGAAAAGGTGGCATGCACTCTTTCATATACTCACTCCATTCCTACAACAACACTCACACTACTGCTAGTGTCTGTAGCACAACCTCGTGTAATCAAATACAACTTGTTTTCTACTGTGTTTCTATTCAATAGCGATATTTGAGGATACATTTCATCATTACCTTGTTGGGCAACAACGAATCGATCATATAGAATTCATGTAATTATCGGGCATGGATAATCCTCATCTTCCTGTTGGTGTCAATGCTATTTATAAATCAAACAAATACAACTTTCTGATCGACGCTCTCTCAATAGATCATGAATTAGCCGACACATTCATGACCTTGTTAGCTGAATATAAGTATAACACAGATAGGTGCAGCGTTTTTACTTCACAGAAAACGAATTGCTAGGCCATTTTAGTTTTAATAAAAAATGTCTTGATTATTTTTGTTGAATAATCATACTTATTTTTAAATGAATGCATCGTAATAGAACAGAACTGTCATTTGATCATTTAAAAAGGTTTCATGGCTTGAGAATAAGTTTCTTTTACAGTAAAAACTGATGAATCGTATGTCTTACAAGAAAAACACTCGAACAGTTAAGTTTCATGGATCGAATAGATGCTTAAATTCTATTATATATGGTAATCAGATCAAACCGAACGCGACATGTTAATATTCTATTATTTAAATTTTGAGACCAAGCAATGGAAGTATACGATAGTTGGGCTAACTCTCACAAGGTCATGTAATTAAGTTTTTTTACTTCAATTTTTTCGTTCGTACAAAGTCATGCTTTACCCTTAAATGTACAAAAGGTGTTAACATTTGTTTATGTATGATCATAGAATACGATAGTGTAAGATTTCATATTATTTCTTCCTCATTTTATAATACTAATTATTATCGCTTATAGTTTTACCCTTTTCAATTGTTTCAGGCAATCAGTTCAGTTTATTATTATATCTTATATGTACTTGTTTGTAATCTCATACATGTGCATATATATGATGTATTGATGTATCTATTGTTATATAACTTCAAGCAGATAAATTTTTATATTTCTTCTTCTAGTAATATATCCTAATGTCTTTAAGTAGCATGTCTGTATATCATTGTATTCATCTCTGTTCTATATATATTAGATAAAGCACATCTATTGTAGATATTCCAGTTAATTACAGAAAAATGATAATAGATAATTCTTTTTTGAATTCAGTTTTGCTCGTTCTTTTTTTATTAGCATAGTTTAAAAACTTCAACCGTTCATTGCAATATAGTCCGGCTAATAACATTGGCATACTTCTTATAATAGATTTTCAGCATTGACTCGTATTTTTTCCTATAGTTCAATTAATTATTCAATATCTAGTATTATGCACATTGGCGATATTAGCCATTAAATCAGTTACTTTTCAATCATTTCTTGGACTAATTCAAACTTCACAAAGTTTTATTTTTATTCTAAAAACTAAGCACCATTGAACACATTTAGACAAGAAATTATCAATGAGTCGAAACGTTTTAATTTTATTGAAATAAGATGGCGTAAGGAGCAGTGATAAACAATAAAACGAGGAAATTAACTAAAAGATACGAGATACTATAATAATGTGAGGACGTAACTAATTAAGAAAAAAAACTCTGATAATTGCAAAATAATTAGCTAAGCCATTGATGCATCAACAATAATAGAAATTAAAGAAAGAATCAAAGGAGCGTCTTCCCCTTTTTGTACTTTGATCAAGTGATTACCAGAAGATACAGGAATAATAGCTGCAAGTTTTTTATTACGAGTCAAGTGATATCCATGTATGCTCCTTTGATATTTCATGCTATAAGTTCCAAATTTGGTCGTCAACACTATTGTTTTGAAAATCGCCTCGACACCAAGCGTTTGACTGCAAATAAAATCAAAATATTTCAATTAAAATCTAAACCAATTAGTCATTACTAGTGATTTTCACTCAGAATTTCAAGCATATTGAAGAATTTTTCATAAAATCACATCATTTTAAGATTATTATTAGTGTTTCATTGCTCATTTTGATTTCCATTTGATGCTTTAAATGTTAAATTAAAATTCTAACAATGAAAAATGCTAGATATTTTTCTCTAATTGAATTCTCATATAAAGTATATAATTTGAGTTAATTTATTTTACTGTGATTCTGTTTTTAGGAAAAGTATCTTTTCGGAAAGACAAAACATTAATGGAATTGAGAATAGAATGAATTTACTTACTTCCAATAAAAAATAACATTGTTTCCACGTTCAATCACATATTTGACTGAAATCTGATTATCATTCCTATGCAAAAAGGAAAACAAAGATCAAATGTGTGTTGAACTCAGTATTCTCATATGTTCATAGACAAATGTTGTTCATACTTGGTTTTATTGTATTTAACTGAAAATTACAAAAATGAAAGTTTGATGATTTATTAAGAAAACGAACAATGTACTCACCAGTATAGTATTCAATTATTGAATTGATATCTTTGAAGATTAGACGATTCGGTTCGGCGACAACCTGTCTTTTTTAAGAATAGATATATGTAATACAGAGGAAAAATTGAGTATACTTTGTACCAACTGACGCCATTTGTATCCTTAATTATACAAGACTCATTATTTTTGATCAAGTCTTCAAAGAGAACGAATGTTGTACTTGTTTTGGTCCTTGAAACATTTTTTGGTTTTATAGCAACAAGACACAATAAATTCGCCAAAACAAACAAAATAAGAAACATCTGATTCATGTTAGTTAGTAAAAACAAAAAGACGATCGATCAGCAATAATCTAATCGATTTGTTGCCTTTCGAATGATGCTTTCTTTTTTCATTTCTCCGTTCATATAATATTTCTTGGTCCTTGATATTGATAACGAACTAATGAAAAGATAAGGTTAAAAAAATGGAATCAAATCACATTTATGTGGTAGTTTGCATGTAACCTTTAAAACTATTTTTTTCATATATTGTCGTTTTTAAAGATACTTTTAGAATCAAGAATAAGATAATGATAATTAAACGCATACAAAAATAAATGTTGTGACAACAGCTGGAAAAACTAACAAATAAGTTCACTGTTAGCTGGCAATGCTGAAAGGAAACTCAGATTCTTTTATCGAGTGATGATATTAGTAATAGGGATTATCGAGCAAAAAATCCAATGTTAACAATGAATCTTGAACAAAACATACCATCTGAGAAACATTCATTGCAAAAAAGTATTCTTCAGTAGTTTTGTGCTAACATTGCAAGCCGTCATAGTAGAGGCAAAACTCAGTTGTCTATCTAATAGTGTTAGTTTTCAAATAAGTGTTTATAAAGAATTTTGTTCTGTACATTGTTGAACAATAGTATATATAATATGAAGACATCGGTATTTATATCGGAGTAAAAGAGATTTTGTTTGTCAATAAGAGAGGAAAATGTAAGACATCTTCATCTTATAAGAACTTGTTAGAGAAAGTCGAATTAATTATGAAGACTTCATTCATTTCGTTCTTTGTCTCAAGAAAAAAAGTTGAATAATGAAATAAATTTTCTAACCTTAGCTGAAAATTTATTGTCAACCGAATCAGTTTTTGAGGTCTACATGGGAGGAGATGTGTTGATCTTTACTTCACCGACATCGACGCCCATAGTCACCTAAATATTTTTTTGTATAAATTTCATAAAGCATATCGCAAACAATAATTGAATATTCGAACTCATGTCACAAAATATCGAACGATTACTTCATAACTTTGATCAAATTGTACAAAGATAGTCAATTTTTTTATAGCCGACTTTTATTGTTCGTTCGAGCAGTGTTTCAACAATTGAAAATGATTTTTCTCGATTTGAATCGATGTAGACAAAAGACTTTCTTAGCACCTGGTACAATATACCGAAAATGTACAGAAGAATCTGATTCAAGTCTACCTTCTAGTGATTCATAAATATAACACTTTTCGGTATGAAAACGCGTGTAGACTGTTGAAAAGCTTGTTGGATAGAAGAAACGTGTTATGTTCAAAAAGAACTGTGCAATTTTTGATATCGTGTATCATCCTATCGAGATGAGATGATGTAGGACAACGTATTGAGGTGCAAATAACAATTCTCATTGTTGTCGTTCGTAATTAAATTATGACAATGGAGCATTAATGGTCTTCTACCATGCATATTTCGTATGATAGATGAGTACCCCATGGGCAAGTGTACGAATGCAAATCTGAGCAAAGTTTGAGTTTGATTGGCAAATGAGCCGTGCTTGTAAATTAGGAGACAGCAGACGAAGACCGAGATTATAAAAAGTTTGTAAGAGTTTTGAATACCAAATAGGCGATTCTAAACCATCCACTTGCGGCTCAAGGGCAATCGCTGGTTTAAAAGCAATAATGCCAGAAATTGACTTTCTTCTTGTCAAAATTTGAGCTTCAAATTTTTCATTTTGATCAGGTGAAAACTTCCATTGCCATATGCCCTTGCGCAGGTTGAAATAGATACGTGTACTATCTGCTATCTTAATTCAATTACTATTAGTTAATGTACACTTCACTGCAATATCAGTTGGTGTGCGAATTAAAACTTGAGAGTGATTTCTGGTCAGAGAATCTAAATTAATAGCATGTGTGTTTTATTGGATAGACCACGTCAATGTTGTGTTCCTATAATGCATGCCACTTTGCTGGCAATTTCAACAAACGATAGGGTAAATGTTTTACGTCAAATCGAAGCTCGATTACACATGCACTTGTGGCTTCATTCATACGCGATCCATAAATGTTGATCTTATGCAAGTCAATAGCTGCGGAAGCAAAGTAGCAGCGATAGAAGTTTTTATATGCAGGATAATGAATTTCATTTCCACCGATTACTGTTTGATCGTCTAATGTTAGTCGAGCAGAAATACTAACATCTGGTGGGGCACGTACAATTACGACACCAAAAGGTTTTCCCAGAACGAGTTCGACATTCGCTTGCATGCGAGGATTAATCAGCTCGAGACCAAGGCGAAAATAAGCCAGATAGATATCTGATGTGGGAGCATATTGAATCACACTCATAGTCTCTTTGAAATGTTGACATTTGGAATTCTTCGGTAAATGACTATAGATAAATTCATCAAAACGAACAAGAAAATAGTAAAGATCTGGACTGTGCACAAATTTTCTTCTATTTTTGATCAAATGTTCAGGTGCCCATGTTGGCTCTAGTAGATACCAGTATTGATTACTTTGAACAGGTATCAATTCTGAATGTTTGAGAACGTCATCTTTTGTGAAGTCGCTGATATATTCAAATTTGATGTCGAGTTGTGTACATAAATGTTTAAGTATGTAACAAGCACACACACCTTTTCTTGTTGGAGATACAGTCTCAACAAATTGGTCAGCATGCTTACCAGAAATGAAAGCTATAGGATCGTAGCCGATGTTGGTCACAACTCAATAAAATGCACACCATATTCGATCGATAAGAGGCTTCTTTTGTGTATGAAGTCTGATCGTAGCAACAAGTTATCGTATTGTTTTTACTTTTGTTCATCTTATCCCTTGAACATGAATCATATGTTCACAGAGTTGCACTTGTTAAGGAAAACTTTTGTCGTCATTCGAACACTATTCTTTTTTTTTACGCTGAAAATGATTGGTTTTTCTAATGTGATCAAAGCAAGAAAGCGATTCAGCATACTATAGAGAAATACAAATATAAGAGTATGGATATGACTGTGGTTGTCAAATCTTCCTTCAATCTCAACTATCAATGTTCACACCATAGTTTAACTATCAGAAATTCATCTATGAAAACATGACGTTAATAGTTGCTTCTAGCAATAGAATAGAAATTGTATGTTAAAAAGATTTTATCTAAATTAGTTTTTTCAAACATCTGTGTATCCATATGGTTTGTTTACGTTATTTGAAATGATAACTGATCACGATATAAACAATAGTGGGTGCTTATGTCATGAGAACTGCCTCGGTTTGCATGATTAATCGCAATTCATCGAAGACTGCATGACAAAAAGAATAGCTAGATACTTAAATAAAACATTTTATTCGATATTTTCTATTCTCAAAGAATTAAAGTAACTATTTGTCAACAGGAACTACTCCAAAATCATTTTCAGAATTAGATAGCTTGTCGCATTTTGAAGATTTATAATACATACATACGCGTTGGTGGATTTTTCAGTTGATAAAAGGCAATGGAAAACAATCGCTTCCCTATTACACACATGAATCATCTCATTTTATGGCAAGAGCTTTTCAAAGCTGAACAGTATCATGTTACGTATAACACTTGCTTTTCTCGTCGTCAAGTGTGAAGAAAAAAAAAACTTTTGTAATCTCTGTGAATCAATTAAAATCAGAGTATCTTAGGAAATATGCAGCATACAGTTCAAGACCGTCAATGAAAACTCAATAATACAACAAATGATACTTCTATATTCACAACTCTTATCTAAATGATTGCTTATAGTATATTTTCTCAATAAGTTTTTCTTAATATAGTATTGCAGTTGGCAAGCATTGTCTTCGATAAATATCATACAATATTGTATTTTATTTTTTCCATATACGTTGAAAAATTTCATGATTGTCATTATCATGTGCGTGAGATTTCTCAGATATAAAACTGATGATAGTCATTAGTCACTATAATTATCGAAGAACGTTTGAATAGAGTATAAACCATAAAAAGTCATTAACACATCGTGATTTTTAATAAAAACTGAAAAGTAATTGTCAAACGCCGTCTTTTCGGACAATTATTAATACTGCCTGGACACAAATCAGTTAAAGTCTGCCAACTATAGTTCAGCGTCGCCACTTTTCTACCAAAACTCTTTTTTTCGTCATTTTCAAAACGGTTGAGCCTGTGCCAATGCATCATGTTGAACAAGAACAAATCATCGATCACCATTATTTTATCAGTAAATGTCTGAAACCCCGTTCGTCGACGAAATCTGAATGAAAAGACCAGTATTTAACATATATGCCATGAAATTTCGACATGACAATGTTAAACCGCATGCTCATAAAGATGTTTCAAACTATCTCACATGGGAAGGTATCAAAATTATTCAATAACCATTGAATTCTCCAAACCTGGCAACCATATGATTTCTGATTATTCTATTTAATCAAACAGAATCCAACCGTTCAAAGCAATTCACTATCCTTTTACCGAGCCATAATCACTATCATAAACTCGATCAACAAAGATGAATATATAAAACAAACTTTCAATAAATGACTAGAACGAATGCAGTTGTATGTAAACAATCAGGGCAATTACTTTGAACACTTAATGAAATAAAATTTAGAATATCTTGTTTCTTGAAAATCTCGTTACTTGTGGTATGCTCTAATTGAAATTAATTAGACTAAAATATATTACTATGATATTTTTCTATTAAAAACACACGAATTCCGTTTCACATCCTAGTATTGAAACAAAAAAACACGCATTCAAATCATTAAAAAACCAGAAGTTTATTGTATCTATTTTATTTTGTCTTATTAATTAATAACGTGTATCACCTCCAGTATTAAGTATTTGATTTGTTCGTGGTTTTTGTAGTTTAGGTGCTTGATAATCTTGTTCAGGAATTGGAAGTTCATTTGACGATAATTTATCTATAGGGCGAAAACTTGAAGTATTATTTAAAGCATTCGAATTCGGTGGATATTGTAGATCGACATTACTTGGTGACCTGTTAAAGAAAATTTTTATAATGTTCTTTTCTTTTAATGTGAAAAAGTCCAATTAATACCTGATCGAATCAAGTCGAAGTGAAATTCCTTTTGATGGTGAGCGTAAATTAGTATTTGTGTGAGATACTGTTTTAGAATTTGCGGTAGGTATAACAGATGCAACAGGTGTTGCGGGTAAAGGAGCTGATTTTTTAGTGATTGGTGTTAATTTTACTGATCGTAAGTTTCTTGGTTGTACATGAGATACGAGAGAATCTCCAGGTGCTGGACCAACTACAGTAGCTCGACTAATAGGTTGCTTCACGTTTAATGCTGCACCTTTAGCTTTTACAATGTAAATTACAGCTAGAATACCAATAACTACTAAAAGAAAACCGCCTAATCCAACACAAAGACCAACAATTAATGCGGTACTACTCGAATTAGAATCACCATTATTTGATTGAAGAGATGGAGCAATTGTAGTTGAAAGTGGCTAAAATAAGAAAAGAAATGATAGAAATACAATAACATTCATTGATGCAAATCTAATCTACTGTAGATTTCTAATCAATATTAATACACACATAAAGCAAAGGTAAAAAAAATTCAACAGAGGGAAGCAGGTAAACAATGTGAAGAGATAGATTGTTTCAAAAATAAGTATAAGAAAGAATATCTCTTCAATATTATTCGATGAGTCTAATGCTATAATGATCTATTAATAATTATAATCAGAAAGACAAAGACAATAGTAGACAGATCATTATTGATACATCACTTACAGTCATACCAGAGATGGAATCGATTTGGATTTTTCATGATCGGTACCGATATCGGTCTGAATAGGGCAGATCGGATCAGACCGACCGGTTTGAAATGCATACCGATATTGGATTGATGAGTTCTCATACGACTCTATCTGTGGATAGTGATATTTAATGTAGTCAACTTTCAACAAAGTTTCATTACACATAGTCTACGAAATAATAAGAGAGCAAAAAAATAAATAAGCACACCGATAATGACCGGGCAGTCCGAAACCCGTACCGATCACAGTTCCATCTGTGGGTTATACTATTTATACTCCTACTTATTATTATCGTTATCAAAATTCTTATTATAGAATGTGTTACTATAATAACATATGATTAAGACATAATATCGACCTTGTTATATTTGATACACATGATAAATTATTTGATTCATATATATTATCGACACAAATATAATAATTTGATCAAGTTAAATTTCTTTTAAACTCACTTAAAATTTTATATTGTGTTCCATATAATATATTAAATATAAATAGTAATGATGCGTTTATTATAATACTACTTAAAGAAATAGTTGTTAGCACACAGTAGTACTTAAACATTTCATCACTGTTATATTACGCGATGTATGTATATATGATTGAATGATTCAAGAATATAACAACAATAATCGTATCGTTTATTTAGTTGACAATGATTCTATGTTGTATATGAACGTATTCTCATATTTTACAGTTACAGAAGAGTAGTATATATCATACGATAGAATGAAATACACTGAAAGCTAGAGTTATAAAAGATATATATGAAAATTAATGAAAACACATTGGAGTGATTAGTTTATACATATTGAATATTATTGTGATTTCAATCAAAAAATTAATTTTCTATTTCTTTTTTTTTCGTAGATTTGATCAAAATCTCATTTGAGAAGAAGATGAAGATTAGAAGACATACCTCAGAACTGTTATTGGCGCACAATCCTGATTGAAAATTGGTAGCATTTGGACAATAAGTCATATTTAATGCATCAAAACTTGCTACTGCACTTGTATTTGAACATGGAAAATCATTTGTAACACGATATCCATTTTGTTGATATATTTGTTTTAAATTTATTGATGAACACGTGCATTCCAGTAAAAGACGGCTAACTTGTGATTGGAGAGTAAGAAGATAGTTTCGTAATGATTGAAAGCTATTACATAAGCCATATTTTAATGCTATGAAGTCTGTAATAGTAATTGTACTATTTGTTACAGTTACAGGAAGAGTGATATTCACTGTTGAAGTATCATTATTTGTTAATGTTATATTTTGAGGATTGATAATATTTGAACTATTAATAGGATTATTGCTAAGATTAATTGTAATATTTTTTAATGTAAAAATAAAAAGATCAATATAATTTATAGAATTATTTCGTAAATCTAGATAACGTAATGATGTTGGTGTCGGATTAAGAATAGAATACGGTAATGATGTAAGCTTATTTGATGAAAGATCAAGTGAAGTTAAATTTTTCAAATTACCATTTGTCATAGTTACGGAGGTTAATTGATTAAACGATAAATTTATTATACGAAATGAATCAAGACATGGAAATGTTGCATCATTAAGTGTTGTAAATACTTGAAAACTCAAATCAATTTCACGAGATGGTAATGAACAAATATATGAAGGAAGCGATGAAATAGGTGAAGGAAATGTAATACGGGTTATACTAGACATGTAAGAACTTGAAAATAAATCGGTAGGAATTCTTGATAATGAATTTGATGTGTCATTTGTACATCTAATCATCATTGAAGTGTTGTTTGAAAAGGAGAAGTAACATGCTCCTGGATTCATTAATGCTGTTGTATAATATGGATAAAGCGACTATAAACAAAACATTCCAATTAAAATTCTAACAATGATCTGAATTAAATTTAATGCAATATATAAAAATCATGTGTACTTATTGTAAAAATAAAATTTTATTACTTAAATTTATCCTGAATAGTTATATATTTATTTAAACTTAAAAAAAATTGATAAGCAAAATATTTCTAAAATTGTGCAAAAAGCTGTTAGCACGTTCTCTATGGAATTTAAAATGTAAACTTAAGGAACTCACTAACATAGGTTTCGATTTGTGTATTCCTACCGACTGTTAATACATGTCGATGATAAAAGATAATAATCATTATTTATTATAGTCAATATGGAAGAAACGCATAGTGACGTAGCCAGACCAGGGCTTAGCCTCTCTCTCCTTAACAATAACTGAATTTTACTCAAAAAAGAGGATTAAGCCATCTCTACAGAGATTTTCACAAGGCTGAGCCTCCACTATAACTTTTGTTTTGGTTACGCCACTAGAGAAAAATGGCAATTATATTAAATATAATTGTGTTTCAAACTAATGTTGCAGTAGGCTTCGTTTTCATAAGTATTGCTTGTCATAGTCGATGAGAAGTGAGCAGCAATAATACTAAAGCATGTGTTACAGTCTGTGACGGACGAGAGGTATTGCTAAGGTATTCGTCAAGGCTCGTAATAGAAAAAAAAAGAGCAGTGCTAAGATATTGGCTACGTCTTTGGAGAAGAGTCAGTTTGGAGCTCGTCAGGTTAATTCCGGATCCGGATGCGCTCTGATCTAGATATTAAAACTTTGAGTTCAATAGGCTCTAGTAATCTGAGAAATATATAGGGTATACTAGTCATCAAGTATAGAAAACCGAAGAAAACGTATGTCGTATCCTCTAACCGACTATACAATTTCAATTTGAAAATTTCATTAAGAGTGTCTAAATACAGTTCCATGAAATCCGGATCCGAAAATTTAGATTCAATATGTTCTAAATAGGTTCCAGATTTCTATCTCTATATTTCAACACTTCTTTTAGATCGTGTTTCATAAAATACATCTTACCACATTTAATGTCGGTGAACCGATGTCTGTTACGTTTGTTAGTTCACCACCTTCATCTGCAATAATTTTACATAATTTAGGATAAACTTGTGAAAAATCGACAGTTGAATTAACTTCAAAGAGACTTGAGGCACAGGCAGAATTCCAGAGAGTTGTGTCATTAACGACGCCCAGTGAATAGTTCGAACACATTGCATTTTGTATCGGATAACTTGGTTCTCTAGCAGGGAGAGTATCTTTAAGTAAACGTATCACGTAGACTTGATCACAACTGCAGTTAATTTGTGTCGTGCCAAAGTCAATATAAGCCAATTTCCATGTAAACCACGGCAGCATGAAATTTGGGCTACTACTAAAATACCATTGAAAAATTTCTTCACATTGATTATACATTTCATAAACTGCATCAGTAAAATTTATTGTTGCACTATTGTTACTTAGATAAACAGCTTGTTCTATAGTTCTATTTAGCATTTTACTATAGAAATATTTGTTCGTTATAGTAGAAATTCGATTATTACTAAAATCTGCTTTTGTTTTGACATCCAAAGCCCACAGCTCAAATGTTGTTAATTTATTATAAGAAAAATCGATTACTTCTAATGATGATATATCCATAAAAGCGTTCATAGGTATTTCAGTCAATAGATTAGCTTGAAAAAAAAGATTTTTTAAATTTGGCATATTATATATCATAAACGATGGAAATATAGAAATATTATTAGAGGTAAGATCAAGTGTAATCACATTTGATAAACATTCAGTTAATGATCCTGTTGGATCTGCTTCTACAATCTGATTATTTGAAAAATCAATTTTCTAAAAGAATTCTAATTATAATAAGAAAATAAATGTTCAATTAACTAACTTGTAAATTTCTTAATAAACATATATTAGCAGGAATACGTGTAAAAGGACCCCAATTATCTCCACTACCGCTTACTATCAATGACATAATATTATCCAATTGAGCCGTAGTTAAATCATATAATCTAAGTTCTTGACTACCGACTGTTGATGGACAAGTAAAAGTCATCTCAGTTCCATTAATTGTTCTGTTACATTCATGCAAAGATAAACATGTCTAAATAAAATTATAAAATTATATATTAAAAACAAACGAAAAACATAAAATGAACTTGACTTACATGCCATAATAACAATTTTATGGCGATCGTGAAAAAGTATTTATACATTTTTCCTATATTTTTCGCTTTTTATGCATAGTAAATGATCACCGGATAAAGAGATCTACAAATCAATTCATATGTAAATATATTTTATTAGTATCATAGCAAACAAAAGAATTGACATTGAGTTTCTTCTCAATTAATTTTTCTTTTATTGTAACACAGTTTTAATTGATTGACACCAGTGCTCTTTTTAATAAAAAAGAAAATGCTACACTTATTTAAATATGCTCATCATGCATTCATTTTCAAACAAATCAAAAAAAAAAGAAAAGCGAAGGCGTAGAAAGAGAAAAATACTCTTATAACAATGTCGATAGCGACGGGTACTGTACTTCAATCTTAATCATCTTGCTTTTTTGATTGTAATGTATACAATGAAACAAAAATGTGCAAAGAAACAGGCACATGTCCGACATAATTTTATTATAAAACCTTTCAATCACATATACAATACATATATATATATATATGTGTTATAGTCGCTGTCAAAACTATTCAACAAGGTTTATTTTCAATTTTTTTTTCACTGGTGTAAATGCTAATAAAAAATTCGACTAGTGTTTTGAGTAGAAAATTTTATTGTCAACAAGAATTTTCGAATATGAAAACGATTGAAAACTTCCCAAGGGTGAGGTTTCTGAAAAAAAACAAGTTTTTCAGCACATAGAACTCCGTTGGAGTCACTCAAAATGATAGAGCAAATAGTTTTCTACAAAATGTAGCGTCTTTAAACGCTGAATGCAATCTTTTGACCGAAATGTATCAATCTTACAGAAAGTATAAAAGTCGTTTTTTTCTATACTTTCATATGAAAGTATAGTTGTTGTGTCTTCCCTAATACTGATGTATTTCGGTCAAAAAAACTTCATTCAGAATGTGAAGGCGGTTCATTTTATAGACAATTGTTTGTTTCATCATTTGGAACAATTCAAACAGAATTCCATTGATGAATTCTAGAATCTGAAAAATTTAAGTTTTGGTTTTTCAGAGATCCTATCCTTGATAAGCTTGAAATCATTTTCATCCTCAAAATCTCTTGGTGAAAATAAAATTCTCTACTCAGATGACTAATTGGATTCTTATTAACGTCTACAGCAAAAGGAAAAAATTGAAAATAAACCTGGTCGAATAATTTTGAAAGTCCCAGCATAGATGTTTATTCCACTCGTCTTACAAAAAAAGTACACGAATTTTATAAATTATGTCCAACGAACAAGATGTTTTTTGTTCTTTTCTTATAAATTTCAAGTTTGTTTGTATTTTTTTGCCATTCTTCATTGTATCTAAGATTTTTATTTACGATCAAAATGCTGATAGATTTTAAGAGTTTATGTTCATAATATAGTATAGAAAATGAAAATGAAAAGGACATTCTTTTATACATGTCAGTGCAAGAATATTTTCATTTACTCAGTAGTATGAAAATAGACAAAAAGAATGCAAGCTCTATACTGTTAAACAAAATCCCAATCTTCTATCAAATATTCAATAATCAATTATTTTGTTTGGCATCTTTTTAAACTGTTTCGATAAACAGAAAAATTCAATTTAAAAATATTCTTTTCTGTTTTTTTTAGATTGACACTTACTTAATGTTTTCTCCATTAGTTAACAAAGAAACTAAATGATCTTGGACGACAAAAAAAATACAATGTTTTTTTGTTGATTCAATTATGTCCATTGAAAATACATGGAAACCAAATTACAGCAGAAGTCATGGTAGCAAAAACATTTCTACCTTCTCTTATCAACTTGTTTCTTTTGTTAGCAAATGAATGTCTCCCGTTGTCAATTACACCGACATAAAAAAACAGAAAAGAAATTATTTTCTTATTATTGCCGTCAGAAACATCTATTCTGATTCTCAGTCCTCTAACTATAAGAAAAAGAGAAGAAAACTAAAGAATAGTCAACATTAAGAAATTTGTCCAGATCTTAATCAAGTCACTTTCCGTTCTTGCTTTTGATAAACAAAAACTCTTTCAATGACATCGAATTATCTTCATATTTTGAATAGAATATGTTCTTTTTTGTCTTCTTGTTTACAAATAAAAGAAAAATGTGAAGTTTCGTTTTTTTTATACTTTTCTATAAACTTGAAAGTGAAAATCATACAACATAGTGTAATTGATTAACATCAAAATAAAATATTTCAATAAGAAAGAGAAAACCACACTGAAATTTAAAAAAAAAAGTCAATTTAAACGAAATAAAATCATAAGACAGAAACCATTTGATTTCATTCTTGCTTATGCTTATATATATATAAACAAATTTGATAGTAATTATGTTTGTTATAACATTACTTCATAAGAAGAATTATGTAATCAAGTAATAGTAATCTTTTTCTTTCTGATAGATTTAACTTTTAAACTATTTCTACACAGTTTTTCTTTTGCATTGTCATAATCCAAAAAAAGATTGTATTATTGATAAAATAATATTCATACTAGCCTTTGAATAGAAAGTTTTACGAATATAGATGATTCGAACGAGATATCAATTTTCTATCAAATGAAAAAGAGAAAAAAAGCAATGATTTTTTACTAATCAACAAAGAGTTTCTTGTTTATTAACGTTGTGTATAATCGTTTTTTTCAAATATGCATCCGCATTGACGTTTTGTTCATGACATTTGATTATTTTTGATATGTAAAAATGCAAGATATAAAATTTTATTAATATACTTTAGAACAAAATCATTGCTATTGAAAGATATATTATGTTTGACTTTTATTTGAGTGTATGCTTTTAGCAGAATAAAAGAAAAATTGTTGATCTTGTGTTCAACTTTCTTCTATTATTATTTTCCTTATTTGAATATATATTTTTTCTAGTAGTCTACAGATCATCATTTAAAGCTGCTTGTATGGAAAAAAATACAAAGCTTTAAGATGATTATTTGATGTTAATTAGACATTTTTTTGTGTTTTGCAAAAATAAATCAATGAGTTAAAAAAAGATTTATAATAACATCTGATGACCTTGAACGTTAAAAGGCACAGATGTAAATCTTTCTATTTTAAAATGAAAATACGTGTTTCTTTATTCAAATATTTGTGCTATTTCAAAATATATAAATCAAAATAACTAAATTGATGATATTTCCTTGTTTTAGTTGATCCGTACTCTCCGTAATTATAAAATGTATCAATATTCGTTAGCCATGATAATCATGCACGACTAGAGATATTCATTTTTTCAAAATAGATTGTATGATTTGTTTGTTTGAATTGAAATATTCGAAAAACTAAATTTATACATATAAAGTTTTTACTCGATTACTTTTTCATCCTATTACATGTCATAAGAATAGAGCAATTTCATGCGATATCTATAAATATAATTCATTGTTGTTGTTAATCAAAGATATACACATATCCTTTTCAAGAACAGTTAAGTTAATAGTGAAGCAAAATAAAAACAACTAGATGGTATTCGAATTTCATTCGACTATAAGATTTAGTGCAAATCTTCGAATATCGATTATTGAGAAAAAGACATCTAAAAACACAAATAATTATTTCTACGATTAAATACGAAATACTTCTCTTCAAAAGATATTTACAATTTACTGGAATCATATTCTTCTTTCTGTCGCTGTATTAGTAAAAGTCTCGTTTCGATCGATCAATTGATCAATGTCAGAAAGAAACTGAAACGTTATTATTGTAAAATTTGTTAGCATGTATCAGCATATTCTCGATTGATTGGTTGATTCTTTCTCTAGCTCTATCATCAGCTGTATTTACAGATGTCATATATAAAATTATTTGTTCAGACAGAATGCCGACTGAGTTTTGTTGCCGTCTTCCTTTTCATTATGTGAAAACATTAAAAATAACAAAGATCACAAAAATTTGCTTTTTCACCTATTTATTTGTAAACAAATGGAACCTTCTACTAACAATTGGAGAATGAATGATGTCGATTCATGTAAGTTGAAAAAGGGCAACCGTATGTTAGTCTTCAGTTCAGATATCCATCTTGATAAGGAATCTTATCTTTTGACTTCAACATCAATTCCAATGATAAATTTCACTTTATATAAATGAAGTATATGTTAACATCGATGTCATATAGGTGTACATCGTAAACAATTGTATATGCAAAATACGATGATAGACATGACTCAATATTATGATTGTATATCTAAGTGACGCATATTAGTGTTTACAAGTGTAGTAAATAGACTGTGTATTCATTAACCTGAGTGTTTAAACCCCTCGACAAATTAGGGAATCAGGAATCTTCTATTTTGCCCCTCGAAAATTTCATATATTTTACTAGTCTCAGCGACAATTTCGAATTTCAGCATTTTTTTTCTCCTATTTCTCGTGTGCAAATAGTTTTATTTTACTTATAACCAACATATGTGTATTGGAATACAATGAAGATAATATTTCAGTGCAGAGAAAAATGAAAACAGATTATGGATTAAAAAAATTGATTGTTTCTAGAGAAATATGATCAATCACATCATAAAAACTGGGTACAGTTTGTAATGGCACTATTTCTTCTGAAGAATAAGATCAATCAGTAATAACATTTATCATCCAATATAGTTAAATAGCTGAAAATAAAAGAAAACTATATTTTTTTAGTCAATATTATTAAAGTCAGCTCCTTATACTGAGACTTGATGAGTGCAGATAGCATCTTTTCTAAATGAAATGTACTTCAACTTTGTCATTAGTTCCTAACGTATTTGAATGAATATAGTTATCCAGGTAGAAGTAGTTTACAGAAAAAGAATGGTGAAATAATGCATTGAAGTTGTTTTTGATGTTGTTTGCATCAGTTTCAAAAAAATATTTGCACCCTTTTACAAAATAATTGCATCCTAAGGCATTAGAAGCATACTTCACACAACATACACCGACACGTGTCTCCAGAGATATGTTTTTTCTTCTTCTTAAGAATGTGAATGAATATCTAGAAGAAAATTCATTAGAAAAAAAATGGGGCTTTAAGTAATATACATTGAGATTTTTCTGAATAGGTTTCTGTTTTAGAAAGGTTACTTGATGTGTGATCTTTACGAAAGCACATTGCGTTAATTAGGTTCTGTGATTATGAGAGTTTTTTTGTATTGAAAACCTAAAATATTTCTTCAGAGTATATTACAAAAAAGTACTGATGTATCGATACGATATGTTTTTAATAAAGAAATTCATTGTTGGTTAACGGTTCTTTTCTATTAGTTATTCCCTCATACACTGTTCAAATTTAAGTTAACAAACATCGAAGACAACAGAAATAAAATATTGTCCATATTGAAGCTAGATAATCAACAAGCTGTACAAATCAGAAAAAAACTCGATTGACACAGGAGGAAACCTTCTAAATTGTCTTTTGCTTCGCTTGTTCAAGGGGGGTCTTCTAGTTATTATCGAGAAATCTTCTAATGTGTCGAGGGCTTTCATAAATAAAGCAATAAAAAATAATCGCAAAGGAATGCATAAATGTTGTACTTCGCACCACATTAATAACTTTATGTTAAAAACATGAAACATAAATCAATTTGATGATAAATAAAAAAATACTTTCATAATTAATTGTATCAGTCATGCTCGAACAAATTATTATATAATTGTGTAATTTGTATGAATATTATCAAGTTTTGGCAATGTTCGATAAAATAATGAATCAAATTGTTAGAAAAGTTATTCTTTTCGAATTAACCTAGCTGTTGCAATATTCAAGTTCATTTAATATTAATTATAATATGTGTAGGGAATTTAGATTCCACTTCTGAACATATTTAACGATGTTTTAAGATTTTTGTAGTTTTACTAGCATGATAATAAGTTTTAACTGCCGCATAGCGTCTTTTTTAGTTCTATAAACTACGCAAAAATATTTTTCATACATATTTAATTAAGTCAGATGACTGAGAATATTTTATCAGATGATATTTAATATTGATTGAAATATTGCCAAAATATACACGTTTCAAGGTAAATCAACATCATTTTTGCTTATATTCATAAATATATGTCACGCAAAAAAACAAAAACATCAAGAAAGTTTATCATCATCATCATCATCATCATCAAGTGGCATGCTGTTATAAGCCAAGAAAATGCACCAAGTAATTTGTTCATGAATCATATACATGTATTAATCGATTCTTTCTTCAAATAACAGAAGAAAACAAATCATTTGAATACTAATTTAGAGAATATTTTCAAGTTTCTAGAGAAAAAAACAGCATGAATAAGAAAAAAAAATACTAATTTGCCCGCTCTTGTTATTCTATTTCAATTGCATATAGAATTAAATATATACATATATATATTCGTCATCACAAGGACTTATCTTGCTTATTTTCGTTATTTATAAATACATTTTATTTCTTCGTCTTCCTCTCATTCTCATCATTCTTTCTTTTCCGACCATCGTTGTCGATAAATGTGAACGTGTTTATAGTATTGTGTTTATAACGACGACCACGAGAACGATTCATTCTTTGCTGCATGCAATCGACACAAGGAGGAGTAGTAGTAGGAGTAACGAAAACAAAACAATAAATACCTAAATATAAGAGCATAATTGACATTCATTCATACCTATTTGCCATGCACGATCAATGGTATCTTGCGGTATGATTCGTAGAATTTTTCTTCTAATCTATTTATTGTTAATCTTGTAGAGTGAAAAAATACCAGAAGGTTCTTATTTAATTGAAGTTCTACATTCAGGTAAATTTATTACATTTACACCTGAACGTTCAACGTTAGTACAACAAGATCGAAATATTGAAGTTAGTTATGAATGTTTTTTTTTCCTAAATTTTGTATTATTTTAAATTAAATTATATAGAATGAAGGTGAATCACAAATTTTTGAAATTCAACATATTGGTTATCGTGATTATATAATTCGACATCGTTTAACTGGTCTTGTACTTACTGTTCACAAGTAAATTCAGTTTAGATATTTAATTATATATTTCTTTAGTTTTATATTAGTGGTTCACCAGCACCTTGTGCTCCGATCGTTCTTTGCCGTTTTATGGGGCCTCGTACACCATATCAAATAGTAAATTTTGAACGATCACATGAACAATCAAATGATTTAATTTTATTTATAAAACATACACGTATGGTTATTGATATTGATGGTGGAAGTCAAAGTTCTAATGCTCGTCTTCTTCAATTTCCACAAAAGAAAAATAGTTTTAATCAAGTAAATCAACGTTTTCGTCTTCATCCAATCATTGATCATCATACACAAGCAACAACAATGGCAATTCCAACGGAATTTTTTCGTTGAATTGTACTAGGAATAAAACAGACAGGAGAATTTATTTGATCTCTGTGTCTTTTTCTTTTAAATATGTCAGATGATTATTATTTTAACTTTCTGCTGGCTTATCTATTTTAATTTATATAAAAAAAAAGAAAATTAATTTTTCTGCTTTTTTTGTACAAAAAAAAAAAAGAAAATTGTTTTTATACTTTGAATTAATTAAGGCTTTTTAACAATGAAAATATCATTAGATTTGATATTTTGCGGTTGTTGTTTACCAATACCTGGTACAAATTCAGATGAATATTTAAATGGTAAACTACCTTTGGTTTGTTGTTTTGGATTTATATTAGATGATTGTTTAGTAGTAACATTAACTCGTCGTATTGTTTCATCACTTGTTGTTGATGATGATGATGTTGAAGAATTTGATCGTTGTTGTTTTGATGAATTTGATTTTTTATCATAATTTACTGTTGTGTGATCTTGACTTCGTTGTTTAGAAGATTTTTGAGGATGACGATGAAATAAACGACTCCAACTTAAATTACGCATATAAGAATCAAATGAAGACGAATTATAAATATTTGAATGATGTTGTTGACGAATTGGTTTCTTCGATTTTTTATTATTATTATTATTATTATTTTTATATGTAACCATTGGATATTTATAATTTTTTTGAGGTATACGACCCCGTGTTTGAGGATTATTCGAATACGGTGGTGGATTATAATATGGTGTTTGTGGAGGAAAGACATTTGGGTCTTTACTCCCAATTCCAGATGTCATCATTAATTGTGGTAATATTTGTTGAGCTTGTTGAAATGGCATTGGCATAAAAAGACAATTTGGAGGCAATGCTCCACCAGTCATTATTGCTTGTACGGCTTGTGACATGGTTGCTTGCATATAAGGTGAAGATGTTGGATATGGGTAATTCATAATTTTAAACTAAAGAAATGAATGAACTAGGATTATTTCTTTTTCTTTTAGTTTTCTTTTTTCTTATGTTAAAACTACTTTATCACACTTTTATTAGGCATTTTTAAAAAAATGCTCACACGATATACAAAGTGTAGTCTTTGCCTTCAATACTTGTATCATTACTATTACAAAATTTTGATATAATCTCTTACCGTCAAGTATAAACGAATGATGAATAGATTTCCTTCAAAATGAGAAGAGCAGTGATTTTAGTATCGCCAATCTATAAGAATGATATTGCTTGTATACTTCAAAATGAGGAAAAAAAATGTTCTCTCATCTCACTATTCAAGGCAATCGAAACTCATTTTATCAATTAAAATTCTTAGAGGTCTTCTCTCTATTTAAGTAACCGTAAGTCATGCATCATTGAACCCGTTCTCACGTTTGTACATATTACCTTGGTTTTTTCTTTGCATTTACATATGTTAAAAGTTCGCATGTTAATAACCTTCTTTATACTTTTTCTTGGTCTGTCATTCTTTTGATAATTATTTTCTATCATAATGTAAAATGTAATAAGAAAACTGTATCGAACCATCGTAGGAAAATGTTCACGTAACTTTTCAAAAAGGCAGAAAAATCACTTGATAATTAATATATACCAATTAAATATATGATATGTCCTCTAAAAAAATTTCATGTTCAATTTTGTAATAGAAGAATTTGATAAATTGCCCATAATCGAACTTAATTAGCTTGACGGCGACATCTGTTCATGCCTTTTCATGGATTGCAGTAACAGCTAATAAAGATTTTTTTATATTCTGCATGCGTTTATTCTTGCTTTCTTCTACATCTTCCGTCTTATGTTTCTATTCTTTTTCAAGAGTTCATACAAGAGAAGATGAAGAGAAAAAGAAAGACAAAATTTTGTGGTACATGCAGTGTTCTCATTTGCATAAAATTCATTGTCTCTCTTGCACTTACTCTATTCGTTAAGATCAGTACAAGAGTCTTGACTGCTTTTATCAACAAAGAAAGTAGTCGTTCATTATAAACTTATTTTATATTATTTTGTATTCCTACAACATAGGCATTGACTCAATTGTGACATTTGCTGTATTCATTTGTTTCTCATTGTTCTAGATTATATATTTACAATTGCTTTTCATCATGCAAGCATGCAGCAGGAAACAATATGGTTTGAGATGAATCTTCTTTTCATTATTTTTCATACTACATTGCATTCATATAAATTCCAATGTCCTCAGAAGGAAAACATCAAATAATCATAAATTACGAACGCTAGACAATTCTTTTTTTTATAGGTTCAGATACGAGTATAATTTAATAACAATGATGGACTATATAAAACGGCGATTCTCTTTAGGAGATCTTCAAAATGAATCAACTGATACAATAATGACTCGACCAACATTACTTCATTCTCATATGAATATTCCATCTCGTCAATCAATACTGGAATCAAAATTAATACCACATAAAGATGTATCAAGGCATTCTATTGGAAACATTTTATATCCTAATCCATTATCAAATATTGCAAAAGATGTTGTTAATCAACCAACTGGAATAGAACTGACATCATCACAATCAATATTGAAAGAAAAATCAAAATTATTATTTGTTATTGATGATGAACAAATCGATTGGTATATTTTAATAATTTTTATCTTTATAAATATTTAAATAATCTTAGGAGTAAATATTTTCAAGGCAGAAAAATTTTTGCTGATTACGATATTCATGTTGAACAGGTTTTTCTTTCTATTTAAATGTTGTTTAAGTATAAGTGTAAAAGAAAAGAAAGAGTTTCGTGATGATTTTTTTGGATTTTATTTCATAATGAAAATGATTGAAATTCTTTAGGCACAATTCAAAGAAATAAATCTATCTGCTTATTCTCATGGTGGAATTGTAATTAATATAAATGTTTATCGAAATGGAAAACATATTGTTGGGTATGAATAAAATAAATATAAAATTTAATTTATTTTTGTTGAAATGATAAGTTTATTTTTAATTTAAAGATCATTTTGTCCAGATTTTGTCCTTGTTCGACAATATGTAACAGATATTAATATTGATTGGATAAATATTATTCTTGGAATGCAATATGGAGCTGTACCAAGTATAAATTCAATGAGAGCTTTATATAATTTTCGAGATAAACCTTGGATTGTATGTCTTTAATTGTAGTTTTTTTTAAATAAACGAAATTTCTTCAATATAGTTTGCCGAATTACTTAAAATTCAACATCGTTTAGGTGCTGAACAATTTCCATTAATAAGTCAAGTTTATTATCCAAATCATCGAAAAATGGTCAATATTATTATGATATTTTTTAGCAAATATTTTGTTGTCTATTTTAGTTTATTTCACCACAATTTCCATCTGTAATTAAAATTGGTCAAGCTCATCAAGGTTCAGGAAAAGTATATTGACCAAAAAAGAAACATTTTTTTTTGATTAAATACAAATATAATTATTTTCTTTACTTAGATTAAAATTGAAAACTCACGTGATTATCATGATCTAAGAAGTATTATTTCAATGAGTAAATGTTATTCAACAATTGAACCATATATTAATGGACAATGTGATATTTATATACAAAATCTTGGAAAACTTTATAAAACNTGTCGAAAATTGATATAAATGTGTTAAAACTGCGATCATTTATGGGTGCTTTTATTGTGACAGGTTATCCTGATAACAAAATGATTTACATATTTAGAATGTGCGAAAAAAACTACGTGCAATCAAGTAGGTTTTGGAAAAAAACCTTTTCTTCAAAAAACAACCCTGGGCAGAGGGTACAGGCAAAATTTTTGAAAAAAGCCTTGAGGGCACTGTTGGAGTTAAAATTAGGGTAGTTATAACTTGAGTTATAACTTTTGAGTTATAACTGATCAACTTTTTGAAAAATACTTTTAACTTCAACAGTGCTTGGGGGACCCTAGGTGAGTTTTTCAGGGAAAAAGTTTTTTTCTAAAAACTACTTGATTCGACGTAGTCTTTTTCGCTCATTCTAAATATGTAAATCATTTTATTATCAGGATAACCTGTCACGATAAAAGCACCCATAAATGATCGCAGTTTTAACACATTTATATCAATTTTCGACAACATCGAGAAAAATCCAACTTGCTCAACGATAAAACATAATAAGAAAAAAGTAAATAGCAGATTTTCAAGCTAAGAGTCCAGAGATTCTAAATAAAGCAAAAATCTTGCTTCGACGTCTCTTACTTAATGATTAGATAGACATACTAGAACGTATTGGAAAAAATGCTTCAAAAAATTGATATTCTATAGAATTTTTTCACCTTAGATAACTTTGTATTCAATCAAATGATATTTTTATTGTCAACTTTTCGTGCTGATCACGAACCGAAAATCATATTTTGAATTGAAACAATGATATAAAATATACTCAGCTGATCTTGGATCCGATTGAATAGAGAAAACTATCCAATGTCAACATTTGTGGTATAGACTAACTATTTTCGCTCAACTTTTATCTGAATAAGTAATACCTTAGAAGATGCAGAATTTCAAGGGCTTTCAGGAAATATATAAACTATTTTGGGATGGTCAAATCCGGCATGGTTATAGTCAAAATACTGAGAAGTCCCCATTTTAGCCAATCATCATTTCCTTAAGTATCTTAGGATTATTAATTCATCTATGGGATTGCATAAGCGTAGGAATTGCTCTATTTTGTAGAGAAAACATTTCTCCATCTTTTGAGATGTTTTCGAAGTCAAAAGAATGAGCAGAAGCAGAAAAAAATGTAAAATACTAATGGCACCCTAAAAACTTCACTTTTTGACCAAATGCAAATGGTGTATAAGTTGCAAACGCTGGCATTTTTCACAGGCAAATCAGAAAGACTTGATATTTTGGATTCACTTATGGTTTAACTAGATCTTTCATTTCAGATGGTTAAATCGAAAATCAAAATTTTACCGGCGGCCGACTTCTAGCTAAGTTGTTAAGTGGTTCGGCGGACCCTCTCTTGAGCTATCGAAAAATAAAAGAAAAATGTTTAATTGCTGTTTCATTGTTTACATATAGTAATCTACATTACGTTCCCTTTAAAATGAATTTATGAAATTTAATATATGATTTCTTGAAAAATAACATAAATTGACACTTGAAACTTGTATCATTTTAGTCGAAAATCATTATGTGGTAATTGGAAAGTAAATATCGGCTCATCTGTAATTAAACAAATTGAAATGACTGACAGGTTTTATAATTATTACCAATAGATTTTATTGTTTATTTTTTTTCTTTATTAAAGATATCGTTTATGGATTGATGAAGTAAGTCAACTATTTGGTGGACTTGATATATGTGCTATTGAAGTAATTAAATCAACAAATGGAAAGGAATATATTATTGAAATAAATGATTGTACCATGCCATTATTAAATGATACGCAAGAAGATTGCCGATCTATTGCCGAACTTATTATGCATAAAATGCAAATTTATTGTCGACCTGATCAACAACTATCAATTTTAACGTAAATTAAACATCTTTTTCCGTTTTTTTTTGTTCTTTAACAATAAAAATTTGATATTGTTAATAGACGAATATCAAGTTTTGATGAATTACCAAAACTTCCACAAAATAATAAATTAAAAATTAATCAAAATGGAAATATTCGACGAATATCACATACTACTGATGTAAGAGAGAAAAAAGAAAGAATTATTTTGCATTTAAAAAAATATTCCGATGATTTTTATTACAGAATCAAGATACACTTGCTAATTTAAAAAGAAAAATGGTTAGAATTTTCCGCGACGTGTAGGTGAAAAATTGTTCTTTTTTCATTATCAATTAAATATATCTTTTTTTTTTAGAATCTCGTGACATTCATTCTTATTAACTGATTTCTACTTTTTTTTTTCAATTTATGACGTTTATTGATTTGAAGATATATCGTTTTTTATATACCTTAATAAAAATAACAAAGATTAAAGTTTATTGTGTTCTTATTTTCTTTTTTTATTCGATAACAGAATGTACTCAATAGTACATAGTCTAACATATTTGTTTTTCTTTCCTACCATTTTTATGAGTAAGAGAAACGATTGCATAGATGCTTTTATGTGATAGCGTATACAACTATTACTAGTATTACTATAAATACGAGACTGCATTCGCGACTATTCTCTGTTGTGTACAAGTCGAGCAAAAGGCAATAATAATAAAAAGCAGCACATCAAAACAGCGTTTTTTTTTTCTTCTCTACTATCGAACGTAAAGCATACATATTTATCGATCACTCACACGCACACCCCCTTTTTTTTCTCGCTTGTTCGCTTTCTCTTTTACAACCGTATAGTAAGTATTCAAGCGAAAAATACAACGAAGCTGCATCAATTTGCTGTTGATATAAGTTGAATATTTTATCTATTTCAACCAATACTTGACAAAAAATCATTAAAGTATGTAAGCCAATAGATTTAGATTTAATTCTTTGCATGGAGAATTCTAAATATATAAAATAAAAAAAAAAGATAATACAAAGTTCACATCTAATTCTTTTTTGTCATTGAAGAAGAAAAGAAAAGAAAAGTAATCTATCCCTATCATTTCATTACAAATTCGATTACTTTTTTCCTTTTTGTTTCATTCATTCATTTATTATGCATATTATTATCATTTTGATAATATTTTCTATCAATAAACAAATTTTTTTCATTAATCATAGTCTACAATAATGTTATCAAAATCATCACGCCTATGGACATCTTATCGATCGTTATATCCAGCAATAATTAACTTATCTTCTCGTCGTTCATTACAGGCAACAAAAGTTTCAATTCCTTCAAAAAAATTAACAAAAAGTTATTATTATCATGCATCTGAAGTTCCATTACTCTATCATACAATTGGTCAACATTTGGATAGTTTAGCTTTTGAATATCCAGATCATCAATGCTATATATTTAAAGGCGAAGGAAATAAACGTTATACATATAAATCATTTCTTGATGAAGTTGATAGTTTAGCTGCAAGTCTTATTGAACTTGGTTATGAAAAAAATGATCGACTCGGTGTTTGGTTACCGAACACATCTGAAAATTGTGCACTTACATATGCAGCATCAAAAGTTGGCATAATTAAGGTACTTGAACATATTTTGTAATAAAATCATATAATATAATTTTATCATAGGTTAATATAAATCCAGCTTATATGGATCGTGAGTTAGCATATTGTTTAAATAAAGTTGGTTGTAAAGGTTTAGTTATGAGACCTAATGTTAAAGTAATTGATTGCATTAAAATAATAAATAAATTAATTCCTGAACTTAGTCAATCGAAAGGTGAAATAAATTCTAAAGCTGTACCAACATTAAAACATATTATATTAGTACCTGAAGATAATAGTAAACCATTTAGTGTACCACAAAGTATGCACTCATATACTGACTTAATACGTAAGGGTGCAAACAGAAAACAAGACGAACGACGCATACGTCAATCACAATTGGATGGTGATACTCCACTTGCTATTTTTTATACTTCAGGCACAACAGGAGAACCTAAAGCAGCTACATTAACAAATTATAATATGTAGGTTTGTTTTTCTAAGTTTTTGTTCAAATAATATCTTTCTAAAATATTTTAGGTTAAATAATAATTTTCAACTTTGCTATTCATATCCAGAATTAATGAGTCGTGTTTGTTGTCCTATACCAACATTTCATATATTTGGTGAAATAGCTGGTACATTAAATATAAATGCACCAAAATATTGTGTAGCCTTTCCTTCTATTCTACCTGATACTGTTGAAACCATGCGAACTGTTCATGAAGAAAAGTGTACAGCATTAGTTGGTGCACCAATTATTTTTCGTGATATACTTTCTCATCCAAAAAGAAAAGAATTCAATTTGAGTTCTCTTTTATTTGCTATTCTCGGCGCAGCTCCTGTAAATCCTGCGTTAGTTGAACAACTTGAACGTGAAATTCCAATAAAAACAATTTCACAAGGATATGGTCAAACAGAAAATTCAGCTTCAATGGCAATGAGTGTATTTGCTGAAGATGATAAAGAACGAAGATATACATCTGTTGGTAAAGCACTACCTCGAATTGAAATGAAAATAGCAGATTCTAAAGGACATATTTTACCTATTGGTCAAGAAGGTGAAATTTGTGCTCGAGGTTTTAATATTATGAAAGGTAGGTTTTCTTTCAAAATTATTTCTTTTGGTTTTTTTAAAATTTATTTTAATCTTTAGGTTATTATGGCGATGATGAAAAGACACGTGAAACTATTACATCTTCTGGATGGTTAAGAACAGGTGATTTAGGTGTTATGGATGAACAAGGTTTTGTTTATTATCGATCACGTCAAAAAGAAATGGTTATTGTTGGTGGTATTAATGTATATCCAGTTGAAGTAGAAAATTTTCTTTTAGAACATCCAAATATAGCTGAAGCATACGTATTTGGTATCCCTGATAAAAGATATGGTGAAGTACTTTGTGCATGGATCAGAATAAAACCAGGAACCAAAATCGATGATGTTGAAGAAGTGAGACAATTCTTATCGTCTAAAGTGGCATTTTTTAAAGTACCAAAACATGTTAAAATTACTGAATCATTTCTTCCGTTTTTAACACCAACAGGAAAAATACAGAAATTTAAATTAACAGAAGTAATGGCCAAACAAATGTCGTCATCATCAGTGTAGATTGTACTCCTTTTTTTTAACAATCATATAATCATTTACAATAAAATAAAAAAGGAGAAAATTCCTACAAAGCATCATAATGATGCTTGGTGTATGGAACGATATATTGATTTTATAGTAATTTCATATTTTATATCCGAAAGAAAAGCAAATATTCTTAGAGAATAATCGAAACCACTGCATCGATCCTAAATATAATTATGGATATCAATAAAAGAAATTGTCATTGATTCTAGATAATGTGTCAAACTGTTTACAATGACGTTGTTTTATTTATTACTAGATACAAAATTTTATTTGTAATAAGTAACATATACGTAATCAAAAATTATGATGATGATAAATATAGTTTTTTTTCTAAATTTGAAATTTGTATCGCTATTTTGAATAATATTAATTATCTGGCGATCCGTTTATAGTAGACAGTGTAATTCGTTAATTCATTCCTCTTTTGGTTTTTGTGATTGTTCTGTATGATGATGATCACGGATGCTATTTTAGTTTCATTTACTATTCTAATGGCATCGACTAAGTTTTCATTCACTGTAAAAAAAAAACTGCTGCACGTCTTGCAAGACAGTTTATCCGTCTAACGTCTAGTTCTACCATGTTTTACTCACAAAAGGTGTCTTACTATCTGCTCTAACGAAATATTTATTAAGTGAGACATAGTTGAACAAAATCATTGTTAGCTATATCAAAATTATGATAAAGCAACAATATTTAAATATGAAATGTGATTTCTTTTATCCTTAAGCGCCTTCCCCTCCCTGCGCCCATCAGAAACCAACTTTGTTATTTTTCGTCCTATTTCATCCAAATTTTTCGGAGGATATTAGTCTAGGATAGGATAGATTATGAGTGAAATATCTTCCCCAAAACTCCAATAAACTAACGAGTTATAGTCAATTTATTGGTCAAAAGTACCCTGTACGCAGACAAGGTTTTTCACAGTAAGGATACGAGCTAACATGCCTGGGCGGTTTTTAGATTGTAGAGTGCCCTTAGAACTAGGTCGTGACAGGATCCGATTGTTGAATTTTCCTTCCTTTATTATTTAAAAATCTTTTTTTCAAAAATTCTTGAATTCATGGCCGAAAAAGTCCCTGATCAAAACGAAAGATCTACGGTTTTTATTTCAGCAAAAGAGAAATTCAAAAATCCGGCTATGTGATGATCTAGCCATACCTGTCTACTATACAATAAAAAAAATGATCACTTCCATATCGAGTCTTTATAAAGAAAAGCCTGTCCGTGTAAACAGTATTCTAGAAAAAACTGATTTTGAGAAAAACGAAAAACAAAATTTTTGATACAGTTAGTGTCTTTATTTGAAATAAATCGGCTTATTAGTCTAATATTTTCGCACTACTCGTCAAGCTTTATTAATGGCATGTATGTGGATACATCGTAATAGAGTGTGGGTGAGCATATAACTCACACCCCACACACACACCCTTAACACTGTATCCTCAGTTATTATGAAGCACCCAATATGCCTCAGTAGCACATTCTCAGAAAAAAAAATCGCCACAAAAAGGAGCAATGTACATGTTTTGGCATAAAAAATTATGCTAAGTTGTAGTCCATTACAAGCACTAGAGTCGATGTCCCTAATAACGACACTAAAAATTTATCTTATCTTGTTTGGCTCGGTGCACGACTATTTTAAACTCGATTGAAAATATTTTTATATACGCATAATCTTTGAAGTGTCCTCTTTCAAATGATGTAACAACCACCTTTCACTGAAATGTAGAAGT